TTCTGTACCATATTTTCCATCTTCCCAGATAAACTTTCTCTACTTTCTTGGTTTTGATATTTCCCATTTTAGCATGCATCCTTTAGATTTGTTTTAGAGTGAGAGAGAAGAAGAGAGAAACTCAAAACTTATCCCCGGTATTATGAATGACGTAAATGAAAAAAACAAAAAAAAAAAAAACAGGTGTGAAATTTGAAAGAAATTTACATTTATTAAATTACATAAAAAATAATAATAACACAATGCAACATTTACAAAACAAGCTTGCAAAATTGTTTTCTTTGTGCGCCAAACAATTAGGCAAGATAACAGATTTTAAATACAATTATGTTGGGCTCATAAACAGAAATTATCAACAAAATATTCACTTTGTAAGAACATCAACAATGTTGATTATTATGATGATTGCAAGCATTTCGGGTTCCACTAGGGAATGCTGGGAACAAAACGAATCCAGCGGCGTGTCGTCTTTGTGTTGATTCGACTTTTCAGTGGCCAGTATCGTATAATTTATCTTTCCACCCTCGTATATTGTGACAACAAATCAAGGGGATTTCTGAAGAAATAGGAAACATATTGTTATAAAATAAAATAAGACATATCTCGGCTGATTTACAGGCAAATAAACTAACATACTCAAGAGCGAGAGCCGGATGTGAACGGGACAAGACCCTGTCACAAAATGACCATTATCTTCGTTTACGTATGTTCCTGACGCACGAGTTCCGGTCGAAAAATAAAATAATATTTTAAAGTGTTTCTATTTTTCGACCAATAAAAATGCTCCCCTCCTAATTATACTCGCGTCGTTTTTCGAGCCTGTTAAGCCATAAAAAAGCGCCATAAAAGGGGTCACACGTAAGTACAACGGCATTCAACAGGAGGCCAGGGAAGAGACCTGTCACGGTCAGGCTGAGCGACCAGCATTAGCCAGCAGGAGGAGCACTACGCCAACCAGCGACAACTACTATGAGAGATCAACCCAGATCTTGAGCCGGCCTATGAACTATACCACAAGGTAGCTGTCCCAAAACCACACGTTCCTATTGAAATAAATCACGTAAATCTATTTCTGCTGTTGTCGTATTTCTTTCTTGCAACCATACACTTGTTTATAACAATATTTAATTTTCAGATTTTGAAAATTAACTTTTGAGAAAGAAATCAATTAGTGATCATTACAAGGATCTTTAAACAAATAATACAAGAGAAAGTATTAGAAAAAAACTCGGAGTGGACAACCAATACAAACTCCAAAATAGATTTGATTTCATAAAGTGAATGAGTTATCACCCTTGAACTGTAACCAAAATTATTTGTAATTATTTATTTTGTAATTTGAAAAAGTTAGAAATAGATTAATAAAGAAAATAAATTAGCTTAGGAAGGGGGATGTTTATAACAACATCTATAATTTTGATTATTAAGATGATTGTAAGCACTTCCGCTCCCACTAGGGAATGCTGGGAGCAAAATGGATCCAGCGGTCGTTTTAATAAAACAACTGTTAAGTTTATCATGTCTTGTGTTGTTCCGACTTTTCAGTGGTCAATCTCATATAATTTATCTCTCCACCCTAAGCCCAGTGGAACACACTTGTGGAATCTTCCACATTAGCCTTCCACCCCTTTCGGAAAAGATGGTTTCTTCCCTAGAAAAAGCCTTAACCAATCACCACTTCGTTTCAGTAAATTCAATCTTCTATTGATTAAGAAACACTAAACTCTAGCAATGTCGAAACAGATCCTTTTTTCCGCTGAAGCACCCTGGAGCCGATTTTTAAACACCAAAGTTTTTATAAACAACCGCATGACTCAATTCAAGTCAGTCAGTCATCGAGTTTCGTGAGATGATACCAAACTCCACGCGTGTCAATTCACTGACTCAACATCACTTCAAAATTCTCAACAAACTCAACACAGCACTCAATCGACCATTGTCCGCGTGGTAATCAAAATTAAAATTGGCTTAAAAAGTGAACGTTTTCACTATACAAACAGTAATTGTACAATTCATAAATTTAGCCAGTTAAAGGCAAACAACTCTTCACAAATTAAATTCTAACTAACAAGTAACACACTAATATTTGAACGAACACATTAGAGATTTTTCCTTGCAGAAACCAAATTATTTTAATTTCACTAAGAAATCAAAGCCATTAACTTTTATTGACCAAATTTCTGCATGAAAATTCTTCATAACGTTGTTTCAATTGCCACAATCAACAAACATTGTGTTATCCTTGCATATATATCTATTGTATATATAAAAATCTTTTTATTGTTGGATCTCTAACCACTGTGTAATTTCTTTCAATGCAAATTGTCCTTATATTCTTTATTTGATCTACGTGTCGTGGAATAATGCATAATAAGCACGCATAATTTTTGCCTTACATAAAATTACCTTCTGATATATTTTCACTCAGCTACAACCCGCAACAAACTTCATTTGACCGTCGAAAAGAATCGAGGAGGATGACAAATTCACAGGCGTTTCTGGGATTTTTTTAGACAAAAGTTCAATTTTATAAACTGAGATTAAAAAAAATGAGACAGATCTCGTATTTTCACAAAATTTAAAAATCAGGGTTAATAGTTCTAATCTTGTGTTATACATTCACACACATCTAAAGAATGAAAATTGTATATATCTCTAAATTTGTAGAAACTTCTCCTTCCTGCTTTGACATCCTTTTCTTTCTTTCTGTTTCTTCCATCTCTTATTATCTTGTTCCTCCCTTTCTAGTGTCGTCAGAGTCGGAATCGGGATCAACGACGGTAGCTTTTAACTTTTCTTTGTTCAGCTCCCAGAAGCAGAGAGACAGTAATACACGTGTGAAATTTAAAAAGAAGGTTTACTTTTTGTGAATGCCAAAACCCTTTTGCTTTCTGCTTTCTTTTTCTTCTTCTTCTTCAGCTCTCAGAACCAGCCGACATCTTTCTTCTGAATGCCAAAGCCCTTCTGCCAGACAAGCCAAACCTCTTAATTAGTCACAAATCGCATCTGAACTGATTCAGAAGGACTTTCTGTAACTCAAATACAATTCGTCTCACAGATATTAGGACTCACCCTCAATAAGACAGAACACAATTACGTACTAAATCCTATTCCAGTAGAACCCTATTAATTGAGAATATGGTATCGTATATATAACTTCATTAACTACAAGTTGCAAACTTTTTTCAGCTCAGGCAAAGCAATGGAACTACTAAAAACAAAAAGGTTTTAAATCTTAAATTTTTTTTAAATCTTAAATTTTGTGCAAGTTAAACACATAGAGGCTCCCAGCCAAATATAACAACTGATGTATTTTGATTGGTTGTAAATATTAATTAGGTGTCGTCAACTACGTCCGAAGGTACCGACCCAAATTTTGACCTCTAGTTGACGCCATAAAATGTAAACATGTTTACGAGCCTCCCCACGTGACCAAGAGAACTAATAAAAACGAAACTTCGACGCGACTTGGTCAGTGGGCACTTAAAATATTGAAACCAATTCACTTGACTTCATTGGAAATCAACACAGCAAAGGAGACGAACTTTATCTTCAATACAACAACAAACTTTGTCAACCATCTCCAGGCTTAACGCTCACTCCCACAAAATATTCCATTCCACAAGAATCTCTGGTTAATGAGCGATAACAATCAGTGAGTCAAGAACAATACTTTTTTTTTAATTTAATACACAAAAAAACATCTGTTTAATTTTCCTATAAAAACAAATATAGCTAACTAAACCTTGTCATTTTCACACATACAGTACAGTAGCTCAAATTCTTTCAGTAACACACACACCAAAGAACTCTATTGTGTTTATCAACTTTTGCACTATATATTATGTATTTGTTGTGTTTATAAAAAATATTTATTGTTGAACAAATTCACATTTTCTTCTACTTGATTATTTCTCTTGTTGTTGTCTTTGTTACATTTGATATTGTAAAAATTGTAGAGGGTCAGTTTTTATTTCTATTTATAACCAATACAAATTGGCTGACCCACAATAAATTGGTGACCCCGAAGTTCAAATGTGCAAAGCAATATTTTAAAACCAGCATTTTATAAGAGAAATACTTTAGTTGTCACGTTTTAAACGAAAACAATGGAAAATTCTACCAGCGAACATATTGAAGCGGCAATTTCTATCAGTCTACCGACGTACAACCACACCAACGTTCAAGTGTGGTTTGCGCAGTTAAACGCAATTTCTAATGCAAGAAAGGGCACGTCCCAACATGCCTATTACGCTTTTGTAGTTGAGAAACTTCGCTCAGATGTAGCATTAGAGGTAAGCAGACTTCCTCAGTGAAGTGCCGGCGGAGAAACCGTATGATACTTTGAAAGATGCTATATACCGCACGGGCGAATCAGAGGAACGTCGGTTGCACGATTTGTTTAACAACCTTCATTTGGGACACTATAAACCTTCCCAATTGCTTAGAAAGATGAAAGCTTTACTAGGTGACAATACCATGTCTGACACAGTCCTCCGTAAACTATGGATGGATAAACTGAGCCCACAAACATCACAAATATTAATGTCACTTCCGGACGATTTGGACCTACAGCGATTGGCAGAAATCGCGGACAAAATATATGAGAATAAACCTCCGGGAACTGCTTCTGCGACACCACTACAACCTATTGTCTCTTCAGTCCGTGACTTACAAGAGTTATCGAAAATTAAAGATTGTATAGCAGAGCTTACCTCACAGTTACAAGCTCTACAAACCGCTATGCATCAGCAAAATCGCACACCCAACAATTTCACTAGTCGACCACGTCCATCACATCATACTAGGCGAAGATCACGTTCCACATCCAGAAGCAGGCCTATATTTAATACCTGTTGGTATCATTTTAAATATGGACAACAAGCGCGGCATTGTACGAAACCGTGTAACTTCGACATAAACGCAGCTAAGGATAACAACACACAGCAGTCGGGAAACGACTATCCCGGCAACAAGTAGAGACGTTTGCTGCCGGAGGGATGCCAAAAGTCGTCTCTTTTTACATCCGAGATGAGAACTCCGGATACTTGTTTTTAGTGGACACTGGGGCACAAATTAGTGTAATACCAGCCAAACCTAATATGTTGACTAGAAAGACAGATTATACGTTACAAGCGGCGAATGGATCTTCAATCCAGACATATGGTGAAACCTCTTTAACCCTAAATCTGGGATTTAGGCGATCTTTTCCGTGGGTATTCACGATAGCCCAAGTTCGAACCCCAATCCTAGGAGCGGATTTCCTCGCCCACTTTAACTTGTCCGTTAATATGTCTTCCCTTTCTTTGGAGGATAAAACGACCAACATTACAAGGAAAGGAATTACATCTATTTATACGAGCACATGTATCAGCGCAACTCTACCTGAAGCCAACGGAATGCAGGATCTGTTACAAAAATATTCTCAAATTACAACACCATTCCGGTATACAGAAACCGTTCGTCACAATGCTGAGCACCACATTGATACTACGGGCCCACCCACGCATTCATCTCCACGGCGATTGAGGCCTGATAAATATAAACTGGCGAAAGACGAGTTTCAGCACATGCTGGACCTCGGTATAATTAGACCTTCTTCGAGTCCTTACTCATCTCCTCTTCATATGGTTCCAAAACCGGACTCAGGAGCTTGGAGACCTTGTGGCGACTTCCGGAAGCTGAATGCTACTACAATTCCGGATAAATACCCCATCCCGCACTTGCACGATTTCGCAGTGGGTCTGCAGGGCGCCACAGTCTTCACCAAACTTGATCTGGTGAAAGCATTCCACCAGATACCAGTGGCCAAGGAAGACATCCATAAAACAGCAATAACTACTCCTTTTGGCTTATACGAATTTGTGAGAATGCCATTTGGTTTAAGGAACGCTGCACAATCTTTCCAACGGCTTATAGACGAAGTGCTGAGAGGTTTACCTTTCACCTTTGCCTATATTGATGACGTCCTGATCGCCAGTAGAAACAAGACTGAACATCGTCACCACGTTGAACAAGTTTTCCAGCGTCTACAGCATTTTGGCCTTAAGATTAACGCAGAGAAATGTATTTTTGCTGTGCCCTCGCTTAAATTTTTTGGACACGTCATTGACGAAAAGGGAATAACGCCCTTACCTGAGAAAATAGAATCTATTTCAAATTTCTCACAACCAACTTCACTCCGGCAGTTATGCCGATTCTTAGGCCTCATTAATTACTACCGGAGGTTCATTCCTGGTTGTTCCCAGATTCTGATTCCCCTCACAGATTTACTGCAACAACAGCGTCAGAAGAACTCAAAGATTACCTTGGAAGGCGAATCACTGACTGCTTTTCACAGAGCCAAAGACGCCCTTGCCAACTTTACGAAGTTATCATATATAAACCGATGATGACTCAATGATCACACTGACAACAGACGCATCAGGCGACTCCATAGGGGCTGTGCTTCACCAGGAACAGGGAGATGCTAAAAACCTATTTCGTTCTTTTTTCAGTCAAGCTAAACTCATCTCAGAAAAAGTACAGCGCATTTTCAAGGGAATTACTGGCAATATACTTGGCAATCCGTCATTTCCGTCATCTTTTGAAGGACGGAATTTTGTGGTCTATACAGATCATAAACCATTAATTTATGCTCTGCACGCCAAGTCGGACAAATATACCCCAAGGGATATCCGACAATTGGATTATATTTCCCAATATACGTCGGATATCCGCTATGTAAAAGGGCTGACAATATAGTAGCTGATACCCTATCGCGATCAACGATACAGTCAATTGACGCACAGACCTTGAATTTCGACTCCTTAGCGGAAGAACAACAAAGACTGACACTACTTTGGAATCAGTAAAAAAAAAACGTCACTACAGTTAAAGCAACACCCTGTGCCATTTGGTAACACTACTGTCTATTGTGATGTAAGCACAGGATACTCTAGGCCCTTCTTTGCGAAAAAAAAGTATTCGAACATTTCCATTCTCTGTCGGACCCTGGTCGAAGAGCGACTACTAAGATGATTAGTGATCGTTTCGTTTGGCCAAAAATGTCCAGTGACATAAAACTCTGGACACAGACTTGTTTAAAATGCCAGCAAACTAAAATACAACGGCATACCAAGTCTCCGCCTGGTACATTCTCTAAGCCTGATGGTAGGTTCACCCACATTCACGTTGACTTAGTGGGCCCTTTGCCCGACATTGATGGGTACCAATACTTATTAACAATAATCGATCATTTCACTCGTTGGCCTGTAGCCGTTCCTTTAAAAAAGTATTTCAGCGGAAACGATTTCCAGGTGCATTCTTAGAGAGTGGATCTCTATCTTTGGTTGTCCTTCAATAATAACCACTGATAGAGGTTCCCAGTTCCAGTCAGTCCTTTTCAATGAATTTATAAACTTGTTAGGCGTAAAGCACATTTCTACAACCGCCTACCATCCATGTGCAAACGGCCTTGTGGAACGATTTCATAGGCAACTTAAGGCAGCACTAGCAGCAAGTGATGACTCCAGGACTTGGCTGGAAAACCTACCACTGATTTTACTGTCATTAAGAAATGTAGTCAAAGAGGACTTAGGATGCACTACAGCAGAACTTGTTTTTGGGAGTACACTAACATTCCCTGGACAATTCGTGGAAAAGCATACTCCTTCCAGACCGACTACCTATTTTGTCCAGGATTTTAAACAAAAAATGGAAAACCTAGCTTTTACTCCAACGCGTGCCCAAACAAGGGAGTTCTTTATGCCGAAAAATTTAGACAGTTGTGATTACGTCTTCCTGCGAAAAGATGCAGTTAGAAAACCCTTAACCCCCACGTATTCTGGTCCACATAAAGTAATTAATAGAACGTCCAAGCATTTTACTTTACTTTTGCACGGAAAGCCTAACACTGTCAGTCGACCGGTTTAAACCGGCTTACATCGATTTATCTCATAAATCGCTTCCTGACCCTGAACTAACATCTTCGACCCAGCCAGCGCAGCTTGCACCTCCAGTACCACCCGCAGAAGTTACTACCAAGTCTGTCAGACATGTTCATTGGCCTAGTAGATTTAAAACGTATATTACATATTGAGAAAATTTTCTCTCAAAAACTTTCACAATCTGCGGGGGGGGTTATTGTAGAATCAGATTCCTACATTTTTTTTAAATCTTAAATTTTGTGCAAGTTAAACACATAGAGGCTCCCAACCAGATATAACAACTGATGTATTTTGATTGGTTGTAAAATATTAATTAGGTGTCGTCAACTACGTCCGAAGGTACCGACCCAAATTTTGACCTCTAGTTGACGCCATAAAAAAATGTAAACAGGTTTACGTTTACGAGCCTCCCCACGTGACCAAGAGAACTAATAAAAACGAAACTTCGACGCGACTTGGTCAGTGGGCACTTAAAATATTGAAACCAATTCACTTGACTTCATTGGAAATCAACACAGCAAAGGAGACGAACTTTATCTTCAATACAACAACAAACTTTGTCAACCATCTCCAGGCTTAACGCTCACTCCCACAAAATATTCCATTCCACAAGAATCTCTGGTTAATGAGCGATAACAATCAGTGAATCAAGAACAATACTTTTTTTTTCTATTTAATACACAAAAAAAACATCTGTTTAATTTTCCTATAAAAACAAATATAGCTAATTAAACCTTGTCATTTTCACACATACAGTACAGTAGCTCAAATTCTTTCAGTAACACACACACCAAAGAACTATTGTGTTTATCAACTTTTGCACTATATATTATGTATTTGTTGTGTTTATAAAAAAATATTTATTGTTGAACAAATTCACATTTTCTTCTACTTGATTATTTCTCTTGTTGTTTTGTTACTTTGTTACATTTGATATTGTAAAAAAATTGTAGAGGGTCAGTTTTTATTTCTATTTAAACCAATACAAATTTTTGGAAGTTAGCGCTTCCACCTTTTCTAATTGATATGACAGCTCGCTCAAGCAATTGGCTTTTTTCTGCTTCCTAGTCTGTACTATTGTTAAATACTGGCATGAATGTGGCGTCAGATTATGCCTTGATGCACCAATGGATCCGCGAAGTCCAAATCAAGCAAAAATGAATTCGTTATAGTCTTTCCCACTCTATCTCCACTTAAACACACACATGCACGCACACATATAAATACACTAATATACTCACATATGATCTCCATAACTCTCTTCTCTAACTGTATATATATATATATATATATATCTTCATGTCTCGCACCTTCCCTTCCTATTACTTGTTTCCCTGATAACTATAATCTCCAACTATTCAAATGTAATGTCAATCGACATCTCCAGATGCCTTGATCTATTCTCTGTACTTCTCTTCATTCTTTCCTCTATCACTCCTCTTTACTCTCGCTCCCACTCTCTGTAACCCCTTGCGTGCTAGTGGCATGCCATCTTGCTTGGGGTGAAATGCTTAATATATATACATACGTGTGTGTGTGTGTGTATAATAAATTCAATTACAAGTTTAAAGGTGCATAAATATATGTCTGCTTAAATATAAACGTATATATTTGTGCGCATGCGCGTGTGTAACATTTGAAGCGCAATTATTAACCGGAATAAATTTATCGAAATATGCTCATACTTAAGTAGAATGAGATCTTTGAAAGAGTCTCTTTTTTTTCACTTGAACATGTTCACATTACTGTTAAAAGCTTTTCTTTCTTGAGTTAATATTATCTAAGACATTAATCTCGTAAAACGTACCTCAATGCTCAAGAAGAGATACTTGTAGTGACTAATTAAAGATGAACATTGTAAGAAACAATTATTTCTTCTGTATTCTTTCATAAGTTATATATTTTATTTCTTTTACATGATTATATTAATGGGGTGCTTGAAAAGAGAAAGGAAATATCTTGGTTTTTTATACTCTCCAAGGTCCACAGCAGGCATTATTATATCTACAATAGACTAACACCTGAACAAAACGAAAGAAAGGACAAGCATAACACAAATCTAAATCCAGTAATAAGTTAAACATGAAAACATTTTATATACAAAAGCAGAATACACAAACATAAGTAATATTAAACATTCGGTATATATATATATATATATATATATATATATATATATATACGGTCCACGCACACACACACACACACACACACAACATATATATATATATATATATATATATATATTAAACATTTCACACCAAGCAAGGCGGGAGTGCTACAAGGACGCAAGGGGATACAGAGAGTGAAAGTAAAGAGGGTGTTTGAGTAAAAGATAAAGAGAAGAACAGAGATCAAGGTCAAGGCATCAGAAGATGTCGATTGACATTACATTTATTTTTTTAAGGATTATAGTTATCAAAGAAGCAAGTAAGAGGAAGGGAGTTCCACTGTCGGGAAGTGCGAGAGAAGAAGCTGTTGGAGTAGAAGAGGCGGTTACATTAACTTTTTCAACAGTTAAAAGGTGGGACTGATATGCCAACCCAGTAGCACGCTTAAATTCATGCAGTTTGGGTACCAGTGAAAATAGCTCGTCAGATGAGTTGCCATGAAAATATTTGTAGAAAAGACAGAGGGAAGCCACATGTCTGTGAGAAAGTGACTGGAGTCGAGATGCCAGATCATGACCTATCACATTGCATATCCATCTTTGGATTTTGGCAAGAACCTCGAGATGAACAGCAAGGGCCCCAGACCATATATGGCAACATTATTCAATGCAAGGACGAATGGTACATCTGTAGATTTGAAGGATAGACTTAGACGAGAAAAGCTTTCTGGTGCGATTCAGAGAACCAACATTCCTAGCTGTAGATGCAGCTATTGATTCAATATAGTTGTTCCACATCAGGTTTGTGGTAAACGTGAGAACAAGAAGACGCAGAGAAACGCTCTTGTGAATTTGAGCATCAGCCATGCTAATAGGAGGCAGGAAGTTTCTCTATGATGGATATTAGTTCAATCGTTGTTGTAATTACAATTTTTAAATTGTATTTAATTCGTCTACCCGACTGCATACTCGAGAATACTTACGAAAGAAAATTAATTCGTCTGATTCGACTTGCTTTAACCGGTCGGCTATGAAGATCTTCGAAATCAACCAAGGTTCTATTTGCCTTTAAAGCAGACTCATTCGTTCATATTTTCGTCGAAAGGCATATATTCTCAGTTTTGAATTTTATGCTGCAAAAATAGATTTGCAGCATAATCTCCTTTCGCGTTAAGGCTTTTCCACCAATTACATAGCTTCAACATTATACAGTAAACATCTCTGATTAAGATTCAGCGAATAACTGCATCAGGCTTATTGGTGCATTCTTTTACACACACACACACTCACACACACACACACACACACACATATATATATATGTGTGTGTGTGTGTGTGTGTGTTGGAGAACACATTTTCTTTACTAAGTCTTCTCGGATGCGCAGGCCGACAGACGTAATACACACTGTGTAATAAATAAAAAATTGGGCGTCTTTTTCAAATAAGAATCATCCACTATATTAACAGTTGGAGTCATTCATATATATATATGTATATGTGCATGTGTGTGTAGGTAGTGGAATCGGTATTGGCACATTTAGTCTGTTCCATTCCCTTTCGTACAAATAACCTTGGGAAAGGCATGAATTTATCTAATTTCCTCTCAACTATGGGTTAAACAAAAGTGTATACAGGGACCACTAATCTTGGCAACTAATCTAAGAGAATGAAAATTCTGAATTCCAAATTGTAGAGAAGGCATTGGGAAGCCACTCCACTTTCTTTCCCCAAAATGCATTGCAAATCAGAGATTATAAATTAAAGGAATCTGTGGAAAGCCACTATCACCTATGTCGTCTATATAGGGCCTTATCATATATATATATATATATATGTGTGTGTGTGTGTGTGTGTGTGGTGTGTGTGTGTGTGTGTGTTTGTGTTAGATGGGCTTATCTTATATATATATATATATATATATATATATGCGTCATAAATACAAATATTGTATAATCAGTGGATTTTTATATTAAATATTACATTTTAAGTTAGAAATTGTCCTACACGGAAAATTTAAGTACATATAAAATAAAATCAAGTAGTATATAAAAGGGACGAGTAAAAAGAATGTCTAGCTTGGAACATCCTCAAAATGGACACGTACAGTCTTGTGGCATCTTTTCAGTTCCCCTTTAGAAAACATGATTCGTCTCCTGTGTGACGCAAAGCAGTAACGTTGGGTCTTGCTCTATGGGCATTCAACTGACTATTCTCACTAACGAGCTGTCACAGGTCCCACAAAAAACCCTTAAGACTTCAATAAATTAAGAGTGATAATTGCTTTCTACATCCCTACATCGTTTAAAGTGACATAGACAACAATTAACTAATGTTTATTTATGTGTTGTTGTGACCTGTCCAAAACGGACCCAATCATTTTAAATATCTTGTGACTTCTGGCTTTTCGTAAAGCTAAAATCGATTGGTTTGGAAATACCATGGACAAAATTAGAAAAATCATAACGAAGTCGTGAGTATATTACTATAATTGAGAACTATAAAATCTTAAACGGAATTATTAACGGTAATAGAAAATGTATTTTTAAAAAATTATTTCACCCCAATTAAGGCAATAAAGTCACTATGACGCAAGGGATGTGATAGAATTTGAGAAAAAGAAAAACATTAAAACAATAAAAGAACAAGAATTAAGAAGGGTGAAGATAACGATTGGCGTTGCATTTAATTAGTTGAATATCAAGATTGACTGGAAAGATAGAAAACGGACGCATCAAAACTTTCCTAGCACAGACCTAGCAATTGGTTCAATATAATTTTTCCACTTCAAATTAGTGGATATGGTTAACATGAGAAGGCACAATGAATCAATTTTTCCAAGGTTAGCATCAGACATGATGATGGAAGGCAAAAAAAAAGGTTCTGTAAAATGATTAGAAGAGGTCAATTTCGTTTTGGAGTCATTAAAATTAACAATCCGTTTCTTGCCCCAGCTAACAATATATTGTAATTATTTTTTTTTTATATCAGCTGCCAATTTGAACACATATGGAACCGATCAGACTTACCATTAAGTAATAGTCGTGTCATCTGCATTTATACCAGGAAGGCGGTTGATGAACATAAGAAACAATCTAGGTCAAAGGATAGAGTTCTGGGGGACACTCTTGTATTAATGCATAAAGATCTAGTAGATTAGCCGTTTTAGACAACTTTCATTTCGCAATTTGATAAAAAAAACGATTGAATCAGATCGAAAATTCGTTCAGAAATACCATCAACTTTGAACTTGTCAAGAAGATCAATATACCAAACCCCTGTCAAATGCCTGTGAGATATCGAAAGCAACAGATCGAGTTTCACTCTTCTTATTTAATGCTTGACAGTCTCTTTCAGAAATGATCTTTAACATATCAGAAGATGATCTATAGAAGATTTAGTGTTGATTAGAGCCTCTAATACTTTTCCAAAAATAGGTAGAAAGCTAATAGGCCCATTGTTAAAAGGATCAGACACCTGAGTTGCTAAAGGCAGGAACTACAGAAGCCTATTTCCAACAAGCAGGAAAACAAGAAGCAGCATGGCATTTATTTATACATGATATGCACTAGTCCTTTTCAGGACTACACTCGGGTACATAATATGCACTAGTCCTTTTCAGGACTAACTAGCCACGTTATTACGAATGTCCTTTTATTAGAACTACCAAGCTGCGATCTTTCACGACTGTCATACCAAGGACGAACAGACTACACCAGCGCCGTCCGCGTCGATCTTCTCTCTCTTTTCCTAAGCGCCGACGCGCTCTTTACAAAAGGGCAGACATCCGGGGATCGACTGGACCTCGAACACCGCTGTTCCATTCGGCCTACCTCCGAGCTGTCGCCTTGAAACCTAACAACGCTCCTTCAACTGGAACTCTCTAACTTCACGACCGAACTCTAGCAAACAATTATCTGTACATACTTTTGCCAGATTATTAAATATAATTTGGCTTAAACTTTTACATCCTCGCCTTTGTTGTCCTTGCTTCGATCGTATTACCCTACATTATTTTTCTGCTTGCGGGGTTAACAGGCACCTGCTTAACGCCGCAACACATTTATAGTAGAGTTTAAAGAGAATAGGACTCAGTTCAGGGGTACATTTCTTAAGGACTATTGCAGGAATACTATCAAGTCCATATGCTCTGTGGATGTCCAGTTTAGAGATGATAGCAGAAACCATTTACATCTTACAAAGAAATGAGGCAATTATGATTAGAAATACAGGCAAAGATGAATCAAGTAGAATCGTGAGAGAATGTACAAGGAAAATATTCTACTTTATCAGCAGAAGATGATAACATCTCAAATTCAGTGAAGACAGAAGAGAGAAGGGATAAAAAACTTATTTAATGCACTATTACAGAGCCGCCAGTAGTCACGAGAACCAAACTCATTCTATCAGTGAACTAAGACTTCCCTATTTTGAGGAGACGTTTACAATTATTACGAGCGGTCATAAAGTTGTGTCTGTCGTGACCAAGGCTATCATATTGGTACAACTAGAAAATAGTGATTCTTATAACGGCTGAACAAGCAGGTGTGAACCAAGGATAATTTTTGCTATTTTGCAGTTTTGTTTTCTTTCAGCCTAAATTGCATTCGTTTTAGCTTCTGGTCCCCACTTTCTGACCTTTACTGGATTATCTTTTGGTTGGACTTTAAAGAACAAACTATTTAGAACGAGTCTCTTCAGCAGAGGAATACTTATTAGTGGGAAGAACTCTGCTTTGGCCAAACCATGTTTTCTTGGCCTTAATGATCTCAGTGAATTGCAAATATTATATTGTAAAATACATAACATTCTAAAATACGTTACATTCTAAAATACAGAATATTCCATTTATAAATTATAAAACTTATTGAAGAAGTAATTACAAGTTGGCCAGCTTAAACACGTGATAAAATGATAATTTCATTGTGACCCTGATACAAAATTACAGTGAATGTTTTGTCTGCAGTATCTGTTTTGAAACTGATGTTATCTATATTTTCATTCCACAGAATTAACTAGATAAATTAATGGTTGTCTAAAATCTCACTGGATAGGTTGTCATTTTGTTGCTCATAAGGAAAGTTGATATCCTGTAACAACTGTGACGACTTCACTGCGTGCAGGAGACAATGGTCATCTCTAAGAATGTTCTGGAGCATATAATCTTGTTCTACAAGGTATTACACTAGTCCATCATAATCTTGTTTTCTTACATGCACTTGAATATCAGGACATTTGTTACTGCTTCTCTCTGGTAAGCAAAAATTACTGAAAAAGCATCATAAAAAGGCCTCGTTGGTTATTAGATGAGCAAGCTTGCCCAATAAATAGAAGTATCGTTCCCACATTTGTCTCAGTGTTCCTGGATTCTGGCATGACATTATGTGTGCTTGATTGTCACAGTGAATAGGGCAAAAGCAATCTCTATCTATAAAAGGCAGGATGTGTGTGTGTGTGTGTGTGTGTGTGTGTGTGTGTGGAATGCACAGTCGCAATTTTCGACGGATTTGCACCAAACTTTACATGCATATGCTCCAAGTTAGCGGGAAAGCCAAGACCGATTTTGCATTTCCCAACTCCCATCAATAGTGGAAATAATCGATTTTTTCAGGCTTCTACGGCAGTTTTCATGTAGTTTGCAGCCATATTGTACTGGCCAGAGTGAGAGCCAATAGCTGGCTGCCACGAATAGGCAGGAAGATTCTATTGGCCAGCGTGAGAGCCAACAGCTGACTGACACGAATGTTAACTAGCATGCTAGCATGCACAAAAATTGATAGCTGCATTCGTCACAAGTGGGAAAAATTTAAATCTGCATGGCACTTTAATCCAATTGGCTGATTCGCTTGCTTAAACTCAACATTGATTCTGATTCCGCAGAACTGGGTTGGGTGTGAAAAAGTATTTGTTGTTAACATTCTTTTTTCATTCGGTTTTTCCAGTTACGAATCCTTTTTTAAAGCTTATCGTTTTGTGTTCATTTTGTTTAGTTCTTTTTTCGTAACAAATTTAATGTTTAGTATAGAGCTTAGAAAAAAATTCGCAGTGTGAGATAGGCAAGAAATAAGGCATGTAGCAACATCAGCACGGCAAAGGGCACTCCTTTAAAGGCAAGGAAGGGCAAAAATATTTTAAGTCAAGTGATAGCGATTGCTGTATGAGTCGTACGATTTTTAAATCAAACACGGGCAACGCCGGGCCATGCAGCTAGTCTCAGTTAAAATGTTAGGTATGTAAGGATTTCTGAGATTTTAAAGTCCTTTGTTATATTTGCATGAATAGCAACAATCCTTTTCCTTTGAAAGGTAGGGGTCATATATTGTCATTGATTTATCCATATTATTTATTGGTGAATGTACCCACCAGCTACACTCATCACGTTAAGGGAAAATGATAACTAGTAATAAATTACTTCTTCGGACGAAAGATTATCTCTAAAAATCCACAAGATTAAGTTGTCTATCGGATCGATGTGATTTCTTAAAATAATTTTGAAGAATTAGCTTTATGAAAAATTCGGCTAAAGCTGACCAATGAGCTCTGTAGTTTATTTGCATAAAGACATATTCCATTTCGGTGGTATAAGCAGAATAGTTTTCGGAAATCAAGTTATCAGAACCCGATCAAGTGGCTAGCTGGCCATGTACTTTCCGGAACGAATGAGACTCTTAGAGATTGTAAATTAATGATCATTCGAGTGGGAAACAAAAAGAGCAGACAGTAGCAACAGCTGTAAGAACATAACACCAGATTATCACCCCTATCTTTGAAAAGTAGGAGAACGTACAAACACATGCAACTTTTGGTCTATCATCATCATAATCGGGAACAAGCAACTCAAAGTTCACACTGCTTCGTACTGTTGCCAGGTATTAGAATTAAGGAAAAGAAGACGCTAGTTTAAACACCCATTTTTAACCAACAGTTAAAATAAACTAGGCTTTTTTAAGGTATTCCGGTCTTTGTCATTATTTCAAGATTTTGATCAATCCGTGGAATCCGTCAACTTTAGTTTTGTGTGACATATATTTGAGCTTATGAACTTTCAGCCCTGAGCATGGGACTTCTTCAGACCTGATCTAAACACAATTTGGGTGGTGGTATCTATCTTCTGCTAAAGTTCTACATCCAGATCAGAAATGAAGAGCGAGAAGGAAAAAGCACCTAAGCAGTAAACAGGTGCACACCTAAAGCCACCATGTCTCCATCTAGATATATTGTTATGTCTACTACCATGACCAAGAGATATTCACCCTAAAGTTAGCACTGAAAAGCACAACGTATAATGCTACATTTAGTGACCAGAATAAGGAGCCCATCCAAGGCACAGTGTAAGAGTTACACCAATTTCATCATAATTTTATATATTAGCAGCTTGAAGCGTCTAGTATTCAGTAACTAAATTTAGCGAAGGCTAGAACAACATTGGTTGGGGGTTGAAACTTGTAGTTTGATCCTAAATTCTGGGGTCAGGCACACATATGCATAAATTTGGATAATGATTGATGAAAGGAGCAAACCAGTCAGAAAATGCGCACCATTTTTCTTGCTATGACTGAGGTGTCCCAATGAAAAAATCTTATGAAAAAGTGAAGGTTGAAAATACTTATTTTATTTTATGATAAACCAAAATATATTTGTGATGCTGGTACTTCTCTAATTTCTCATTATAATGTAATCAAGACATTTCACTTCTGTTTCTTATTTTGAACATAAATCCAAAGCATGTCGCTACGGATCTGAGGTTTAAGAAAATAGAGCCGAACACAGTCCCAATCAGGATGAACAGAGGTCCTCTCGAGGAAGCATCGTGCCTTGAAAGACTTAGGCCTGAAACTCACACCCGACCTCAAGTGCAAGGATGCAGGTAAAATGGTCGGCTTCTGTACCGCTCCAGTAAATATCTGACTCCCCCTGCTATTCTTTACCTTTGCAAGAGCCAAATCAGACCAAAAAATGGAGTACTGTTGTCATACTTGAACAAGAGCTGCCCAGACATCACTCTCCAGCCTTGATAGAGTTCAAAAGCGTCTCCGAACTCTTGTGGGTGACGAATTATTCTCCACTCTTCAACGTATCTCCTACGGATGGGATGTGGTAAGCCTCTCGTTGCTCTATCACTACTTCCACGTAAAGTGCTCGGACGAACTACATTACCTGGTCCCGTCAGGTCAAACCTTCACAGCAACATGGTAGCAACATAAAACCACCCACATTCACTCCGTATTCCACCGATGAGAAGTAAGTTCCACTCGAGCTGCTTCTTCCTGCGAACCATTATCCTGTGGAACCGACTCCCAACAGGAGTTTCCGCCATCACTACAATCTTAACCTGTTCAAGACTAGAGTTAACCGTTATCTTCCACTCCTATCCACACAAATGGCCTCCTAACGCAACTCTCTACCTCGAGTGGAGCCCGGGCCTTGTAAAGTGTTAACCTTAATGTAAAAAAAGAAAGAAAGTATGTTGTTACTGATCTGAAGCTTTCAGAACATAGGACCTAAATATGTTGCTACTGATCTGAGGAGTTTTTAACTTATCTGAAGTATATTACTACTGATCTTAGATTTTTTGAACATAGGTCCTATATGTTGTTACTGATCTGATATTTTTAATATAGATCCAAATTATGTTGCTACTGACCTGAGGCATATTGAACACAGGACCTAAGTATGTTGCTAACGATGTGATGTTTTCTGAATACAAGCCTTAAGCATGCTGCTATAAATCTGATGTTTTCTGAACATATATCCAAAGTATATTGCTACTGATTTGAGATTTTTTGAACATAGGTCCTAAGTATGTTGCTACTGGGCTGTGGCTTTTTGAAACATAGATCCGAAGTATGTTGCTACTGATATGAGATATTTGTTGGTCCACTGCTCTAATTAGGTTGTCACGTGCATGAATATCGTAGGACATTACCCTTTTATAGATACAAACCCTGTTTCAAACATTTAAAAATAATATGTAAGGTCGATATGTTGCCGGAACTGGTCTACTTGTAAAAAGATAGAAATACATTTTGAGGGAATAAGTTTTGCAGATTAGCATTCATTAGAGCTTCCTCAAGCTGCGACATTTTCTCAGAATCGAGAAATATTGATTTTTATCAATTAAATTGAATCGGGGCCATATTCATAATATACATCAAGTGTCAAATCTATCGCTAATTCCTCCTAATAATGTAACCAAAACATATGGGTTCAGAAATACGTGTGGATAAATTTGGTGGATGTTTGATGAAAGTAAAATACGTTATCCTTATTTCTTTTGGTTATAAAATTATTTTCAAATATATTTTTTTTGATGTTGTAAGGATGTACTTATCTAACTTCTCTTGTTGTTTATCAGTGAAAACCCGACGCGTTTGAATGTCACAGTCATTTACACCTCCCGTTTCTTGTTTTGAACATATCTCCTAAGCACGCTGAACGGTATCAGCTTCACTTGCTGCTGATTTGAGCCTTCTGTTGTTTTCATGTAGTACTTGATCCATGGCTCTTATTATGTCATCAGGAGTACGTAGATCATGAGAGGTTTTCCTTTTATAGGTCCCAACCAAATTGGAAAGATCTATAAAAGATAAACGTCAGTTGTAAAATGTGTATCATTCAACTATATATAAAATATAAAATTGTAAAAAATCAGTTATATGTGATATTTATATAGTTTTTCTACTACGTATTATGTTTGTTAACGTTTTGAGAATAAAATTTCAATTAGTGGTAAAATTTTCAAGACATACTTACATGAGCTATATATTGCATGGGTTTTAAGTTACAGCAATCCTCATTAAAAGTACTGATCATATCTTATTTTGAGGGTCTCAGCAGGCGCGTAGGCGGCACTTTTATGGGGACGGCACTTTTATGGGGGAGGGACTTTTGTGTCTACTGTAGGCTACGGACCTCCATAGATAAATAAAAATTGGGACAGTAATCACAATGGAAGGATCTTTTTGATTTCGAGTAAATTTTACTATGGTGTATATACTGGCATATCTCTTGTCTATAGAACGACAATTGATAGATGACGTAGTTTTTGACGATGTCATTAAAGAATTTGCATATAATAAAAACAAGAAAAGTTACTTTGTAGAAAGTTGTAAATTTCATTTCAGAAATAAAGATGGTCCTAATTTTTTACACTTTTTCCCCTATATGCCGTTTTCTCTTTTTAACTGTTACTGATAGATTTTAAGTAAGTTTGATGTGTATTTAAAGCACACTATATTTAAATATGTATGTGACACTGAGGCTGTGAGGTAGTTAACCATTAATTCTAAGCAAAAAAAGAGTTAAATGAAATTTAAACTGGAAGATAGAGAAATAGAAAGAGAGAATGAAAAGATTAATCTTCTAAAAACTGATTTTGTTAACGTTTATACTCATTTGTAATTAGATTTAAATGTTTCCGATATTTTTTAAAATATTTTCTTATATTTCCTTTTTAAAAATGGACCACAAGTTTTAATATTTGGACAGGCAGGGACACAAATCTAGCATATTTGAAACATTTTTGGCAAGGTCGGCAATCACAGACCTTTTATAATGTGAAAAAGTTTGCTTTTATATGAATACACGCTTTAGATTAAAGCTTCTTTTTTAATCATTTTATCCCAAGCAATGCGGGAATGCCACTAGTACGCAGGGCGTTACAGGACGTGAAAGTGAGAGAAAAGAATGTGTATAGGGAGGATTGAATAAAAAACAAACGATGAACGTAATTCAAGAAGATAGAAGATAGCGATTGACGTTTCATTTAAAATTTTTAAGGTTGTAGTTATCAGGGAAGCAAGTAAACGGAAGGGAGATCCACAGGCGGGGAGTGCGAGAAAAGGAACTGTTAGAGTAGAAGTTGCGGTTGCATTTATCTATTTCAACAGTAAACGGGTGGGAAGTAGATGCCAATCTAATAGTACGATTAAATTAATGTATTCGGGGCAACATGGAAAAAAGCTCGTCCGAGCAGTTGCCATGAAAATATTTGTTGAAAAGGCAGAAAGAAGCCATACCACGTGAGAAAGTGACTGAAGTCAAGATGCCAAGTCAGGATCGGTTACATTACAGATTCTTCTTTGGATTTTGTCAAGAACAAGAGATGAATAGCAAATGCACTAGACCAGATATAGCAACAGTATTCAATGCACAGGTTTAATGGTAGATTTGTAAATGTGCTAGATGAACTCTGAAGAGAATAATGATCTTGACTGTGAGCTGCATCACTTAAAAATGTCTTATGAAAGAACTTTTAACACTGTATTTATTATGACACCACCAGTAATTTTGAAGGGAACTGTAAAGGTTTCCATAGAAATTGTCTACAATACTAACTTTGAAAACATTACTCCACCTCCTCATTGATGTCTCGATGTGTTGATGGACCATTTTCAAGAAGATCCCATTCTCCAGCAAAGCCATCAAGTTCATCCGATGTAGCTCTATATTCATCACTAGATTGATTAATGAGAAACCAGTTTTCGTGCACTACTTTTTGTTCTTGCTTTTGACGTTTAATCAAACGTGATCGTTTGATTGCTTTAGACAATAATGTTTTAAAAGAAAATATTTTGCATCATTTCTCGCTGCTTAGATTCATAATATCATCTTCTTCAAATATTTTCTTTATTATGGTCAATCGATTTACGACCATATAGCATTGAAACACCGGTTACCGTACGATCACGAAGTTAAGCAATGTCGAGCATGATCATTGCCTAGTTGCTGTTAGTTTGGATGTGCGGGTGGAATAATGGTTAATAGTTCAGAATTTGTTTGAGAGCTAAGTTTTAATTTCAGTTCTTGTATTTGTTAATTGCTATTATTAACAAAAACAACAGAAAATGTGTCAGGAGAAGCCATTTTTAGGACTGCAGATTCAAATGGGCCGGATTCATCTATGTCCCAGGCGAGACATATTCCAAAATTGTTCGAAAATAATTATTCAAAAACATTTATTCGAATTGTAAATTGTTTGAACGAAAATTAAACGAAAGGGCAATTATACTAAATGATAATTATTCAAAATACTTATGTTTGAAATATATATGTGGTCTTGCTTTGAAAGACCTGGAACTAGTAACATTCTTGAAGGATAGCATTGGGCTTTTTTTTTGCAGCAAGTGACATTCCATCATCCCACAATATGGAAATTCTTAGACGCTCTTAAAAGAGAACAGGACTTGCAGGAAATTCATATTGCAAAAGTAAGAGCAGGTTGCCAAAATATCAAGAGCGCCAAGAAACACCGCGGCGTAAATGAAAACCTTAAAAGATTAGTGGCAACCTTTACCGAGTACTCTTCAGTAGTTGACTACTTGCATGCAGTACCATATAACTTAAAGTTATAAGGATTTTTTCTTACTAAATTGTTTTATTAATATTTTTATTTCGAGTGATTATCATTTGCGTATTTTCTCTTAATTTTTACATTTTCATTGCAATAAAGAATTTTGCATTTCGAATATTGTCATTTAGTATAATTGTCCTTTTGATTAATTTTAATTCAAACAATTTACAATTCGAATAAATGTTTTTCGAATAATTGTTTTCGAATAATTGCTTTCGAACAATTATTTCCGAACAATGTTCACATAATCGTTTCATTCTATATTTGGGAAAGATATATTCACAAATAGAAACGGCACCATGGATTTGTAGGCTACTGGGGGAGACAGATTTGTCGCCAGCCTGTTTCCTTTGGCATAGGTTAAAAGAAAGCAACCTCATGTGGTGTCTGCTGTAAACAAAACTGAATTTGACTGAAGTTGTTGTCACTGTATCGAATGACGTCACTAAGCGGCCCATCGTGTGTCCCATATGACTTATCTCTACCAAAGGGAGATAAGCGACTTCTGTATCCCTACAAAATTACAAGTATACCAATGAGAAAGGTGTAACCGAAATTTAGAAACCATAGGACTAGGTTTTCCATAGCTTAAGAGGAGAACAGATACTGCACTTTAATCTCAGTGAGTTCCTAAGCCTATTGTAAAAGTTGTTCGTAGACGTCTGTGCAGAAATTACTTCCGTTATAAATTTTTACGTTGAAACACCAGTTCCCGTACGAACACCAAAGTTAAGCAACATCGAGTGTGGTCAGTACCTAGATGGGTAACCATTTGGAAATACCAGATGCTGTAAACTTGGATGCGCGGGTGGTTTAATTGTTAAACAGAGAGCCGAGTTCCAATTCCAGCTGATTCATGATGTTCCCTTATGCGCAAATACCCTTGGAAAAGGTATGAATCTACCTCTTGTCTCCCTTAGCTATGGGTTAATTCACAAGACTTGTATCACTAAATCATCATTATATCCAAAAAAAGTTCTTACAATCTAAAAATAAGTTCAATCTTTAAATACCCTACAAAGGGTTGATAAGCTGCAGAAAATGAATGAATGAATGAATGAAAAAAAATGAATGAATTAAAATGAATGAATGAACATGAATGAATGAAAATGAATGAAATGAATGAAAATGAATGAATGAATGAAAATGAATGAATGAATGAAAATAATGAATGAATGAATGAAAATGAATGAATGAAAATGAATGAATGAATGAAAATGAATGAATGAAAATGAATGAATGAATGAAAATGAATGAATGAATGAATGAAAATGAATGAATGAAAATGAATGAATGAATGAATGAAAATGAATGAATGAAAATGAATGAAAATGAATGAAAATTGAATGAAATGAATGAATGAATGAAATAAAATGAATGAATGAAAATGAAAATGAATGAATGAAAATGAATGAATGAATGAATGAAATGAATGAATGAAAATGAATGAAATTAATGAATGAATGAAAATGAATGAATGAATGAATGAAAATGAATGAAAAATGAAATGAAAATGAATGAAAAAATGAATGAATGAATGAAAATGAATGAATGAATGAAAATGAATGAATGAAAATGAATGAAAAATGAAAATGAATGAAAATGAATGAAAATGAATGAAATGAAATGAATGAATGAATGAAAATGAATGAATGAATGAAAATGAATGAAATTAATGAAAATGAATGAATGAATGAATGAAAATGAATGAATGAAAATGAATGAAATTAATGAAAATGAATGAATGAATGAATGAAAATGAATGAATGAATGAATGAATGAAAATGAATGAATGAAAATGAATGAAATTAATGAAAATGAATGAATGAATGAATGAAAATGAATGAATGAATGAATGAAAATGAATGAATGAATGAAAATGAATGAAAATGAATGAATGAAAATGAATGAATGAAAATGAATGAAATTAATGAAAATGAATGAATGAATGAATGAAAATGAATGAATGAATGAATGAAAATGAATGAATGAATGAATGAATGAAAATGAATCAATGAATCAATCAATCAATCAATGTTTTTATCAGTCTTACTTAAACTTTGTTTCTTTTAAATAATAATTTTCTTATTGCATAATAACTAAAGTACTTAAACTCAAGGAGCTGGAATTTTACACAGAACTACAAGATGGTCCAAAAATCTTGTCACTCCTACCAAAAAGTAATGAGAATAACAGAAGGACAAGTAATACAGTAATACAAAGCACTTGTAATGGATTCAGTTTATTCACTTCCATTGACGCTGTCACATATCGAGAAGATTTGTACGAAAACCATCATTTTCGTGGCAGCCATCTGAAATAAAAAATTATATTATACAGAGGTGACAAGATTTTCTGACTTTCCTGTAGTTTTACACAAATTCTGAATTCTATACCATTTTTATACACTGAAAAGAAGATATTTAATTTTATTTTTAAGTATTTTTATTTCTAAAAGACAGATTTGGGCCAATTAATGAGCCGAGATAGTACAAATCTTGGTTTTATTATGTAGCTTCACTAAACGCTTACAATACATTTAACTCAGAAGAAAAATGGCGGAAACCTTTCTGCTCAAAATGATGCTAACAGTGGCGTCATCAATTAGTGGAAATAATTAAAGCAAGTGTTTCATTCTCCCCTAAATATCAATTGCAGTGTGGATAGAAAGAAAAAAAAATTAAATCACATGTCTGATTTGTCAGTTAAACACATACTAAACAAAGCTAAGAACGCTCTAACAAGGTTAACATTGTAAAACATTCCAATTGCCATTGATTGTAAAATTACTGAACTTTACTTTGGCTGAAAGGAATAATTTCCTATTTTGAGAAGCCTCCACCCAACTCGGCCTTTGATATTGAAAACTGTAAACTGAGGCAATATCTGGATCTGTGTTAATATATCCCGTAAATAAGACTGACTGTTAAGAGGAAGGGTTTACTCTACTGGTTTGAAATAATTTTCTTCCCACAAAGCAGTGTTAACGGCCTCGAAACAAACGTTTGATTAACTTCTCGCCAACAATTCAAAACTATACCATTGTATTATATTGCATATGGCATATATAAATAAGTTATGAGTCGGTGTGATGGTTGGATAAAGTATCTGAGTTGGTTGGAGGTGTTCTGGAGGAGATAAGATAAATTAATTCCTTCCTATTTTGAGTATCAGGATAGCGTGGGATCGGATAAAGAATCTTGGAAATACTGCTTTGGAACTTTAATATTTTTAGATTATGGCAAATCAAACATATTTAGAACCGGTATTTTTCAGATTACGGAGAGCTTGAATAATAACTGCATAATTGCGACGTAGCTCAGTGGTGAGACCGTTGAACCTAAATTTAACTAAAACAAAGTTCAGTTTCTATGGTGGTATAGTATAGTATGAGGCAATGTTTAACCTTCGTTCGCGCCAAAAAAAAAAAAAAATTAAAAAAAAATGGTGAGTCAAAAGAACTGTTATTCCATTCACCTTGCTATTACTGTAGACCTTTTTGACACCCTTGGCAATGACTATGTACAAGATTATAAAAAGATGTGAATCAAGACACAATGCAATATTTATTATTTGGCTTTTATGGAGATTTATTATTTACCATTACCTCAATAAATAAACGGCAAATTATGTCTGTCAGTCTGTGTGTCTGAAACCCCACCCAACTCGGGCCACACTTGCTCTACATGGACGTTATACCTTTTTGGAATCAGGATGATCCGGGGTTGAAAATCTACCCTTCATCTTGTGTTTGAATATCGAGCATTGAGATTGGTGTTCGGATGAGGGGGGAAGAGTTAAAAATTCAAATTTTAAAATAACTGAAAAAAATTAGTGATTTTAAAAGTTTTTAATTTATATTGAGTTTAATTAATGCAACACAAAAACTTTATAAATTTAAAAAATTTTGTTTTAAATTCAGTTTAAAATATCTCCAAAAGTTTGTGAATTGAAAAAATCAATTTTATTTCTTCAAAATGTCAAGGAATCAGAGTTAAAGTGGGAGGTTTCGTGATGTGAGGTTTTGAAGTGCCGCAGAGTTTGTGATTTGAAGAACCCACCACAATTGAAGTTCAACGGAGTTTGTGATTTGAAGAACTCAATTTTAGGCCTGAATTGGAATTTCAGCCCAAATTGGTCTTTTAGCAGGAATTGGACTTTGAGACCGAATCATAGTTAAAGTGAGGTTTTGAAGTACCATAGAGTGAATTGAGGAATTCAAAGTTATTTCTTTAAAATTATCATTGCTGTTTTCTAAGCTGAAGCTGAGGTTGTTTCAGTTTTAGACCCAATTCACCCTACGCAGGAGCTAGCTTAAAAGTATGCATGGAGTGCGGCTTTTAAGCTAGTAAACTAATGAATTTGAGAAGAAAGCTTTTTATTCAAAAATTTATAAAAAATTACGAAATTATCAAAATATGTCAACCAACTACAATGCAATATTTACTTTTTACCATTTTATAAATTACTATGAAAACATTTTTATTCATAATTTAATAAAAATATCGATGAACTATAGAACAAAAAACCCGAATAAACATTTGTCTTTTCCAGACGTAATAGATTTTCTTCTTTTTATTATTTTATATTTCTGATTACTTTAAAAAAAATTTATAATGATGATCAAGGATGCCTAATCAGTAGAAATCTAAGGCCTTATTAATAATTATAGGTGCTTCATTCCTACTTTTCTTGAAAAACGTAATTTTGAAAAAGTTTTAAATCGATGTTATTTATTAATTTTAGTTTTTGAACTGGTTATCTTGACTTAATGATAATGTTATAGACAAGCGTATGGTTGCAAGAAAGAAATACGACAACAGCAGAAATAGATTTACGTGATTTATTTCAATAGGAACGTGTGGTTTTGGGACAGCTACCTTGTGGTATAGTTCATAACCCCAGTGCCGATCTGGGTTGATCTCTCATAGTAGTTCTCACTGGTCGGCGTGGCGCTCCTCCTGCTGACTGCTGCTGACTGCCCAGACTGACCGTGACAGATCTCTTCCCTGGCCTCCTGTTGACTGCACTTGTACTTCCCCGTGTGACCCCTTTTATGGCGTTTTTTATGGCTTAACAGGCTCAAAAAACGACGCGAGTATAATTAGGAGGGAAGCATTTTTATTGGTCGAGAATATTATTTTATTTTTCGACCGGAACGAGCGTCGGGCCTATGCGTAAACGATAGTAATTTGTGACGGGGGCCTTGTCCCGTTCACATCCGGTTCTCGCTCTTGAGTATGTTAGCTTATTTGCCTGCAAATCAGCCGAGATATGTCTTATTTTATTTTATAACAATAAGGTGCACAAAAAGAACAATTTGAGCAAACTTATTTGTACATTTCGTATTCTGTTAATGTCTGGTCAATAAATGTAAATTTCGTTCAAATTTCACTACGGTGTTTCGAGTCTTGTTTGTTTACGTATGGACCTTATACAATAATCGGGATAAGAAAAATGACGCCCTCTATTCTCGCACACTCTCCCGGAAAAAAAATTCTTTTAAAGTGAATAGAATCGAACAATTTGACTGTCATATTTTCTTTCTAATTGATTATTATTTTAAATCACTCAACCAATCAAAATCTTAAGCTAAAGGCTTCTAGTACATAAATGCTGTTCATTAAGTTATGTTTCTTGTCATCAGAATTGATAACAGACGTCGTCGTTAAGGGACAAACATGTACTAGAGTGCAATTGAAAAGTGATGTAGATGGTTTCATCAAAATAGTCCCCTGCATGAATGGAGGAATTAATTTCTCTAGAAAAATAAATGTGAAGAAATCCATATGCA